GTGAAGTAGGGACTAGGGCTTCTCTCCTGTCTCTAGATTGAGGCAGTTATCCCTCCATGGGTGATGTGTTCGCAAAGTCCTTTTGTGCTCCAGGGATACATCCTAATTCCACTGTCTGAGGTCCCTTAGACTGCTCAGTCCTTCTGGCTGAGACCCATATTCAGGGGGGCCTGAGTCAGTCCCATGCTGGCTTCCCAGCTATCAGTCTGGGGGCCCATTAGCTCCTCCTTGTTCAGGTCAGCTGTCTCTGTGTGTTTCTGCCGCATGGTCTTGTCCTCTCCATCTGCATCTGGGTTCTAGTTCGACTCAGTGTTTATGTATGGGTGTTTGCTTCTGTTTCCAACAGGCATTAGTTGAGGGCTCCATGGATAAGTTAGTTGTTGATCTCACTATCCGGGAGGGCATTTATGGTAGCCTTTCCATGGATGCTCACATTGTTAGTTGGCGGCAGTCTTGTAGGTCTCTAGACCTTTCTTTGGGTTCAGTTTTCTCTTCAAATCAATATTGGCTCCCTCTTTTATGTTCTCTCTCTCTCTCTCTCTCTCTCTCTCTCTCTCTCTCTCTCCTGTCTTCTATTCCTACCCTATTCAATCTTCCTAGTCACACGTGTTTTCCTCTCCTCCCCTCTCTTTCTCCTAATTCTCTCTCCATTCACTGCCCCCCACTTCCCCTGTGCTCTGGGGGACTTGTCCCTTCCCACTTCTGTGAGGGACTTTATATGAATCTCTTAGAATACACCTTGTATCCTAGTTCCTCTGGCAGTGTGAATTATAGGCTGGTGATTTGCTCTAGGTCTAAAATCCATATATGAGTGGGTACATACTATGTTCCTGTTTTTGTGACTGGGTTGCCTCATTCAGGATGGTTTCTTCAAGTGCCATCCACTTGCCTGCGAATTTCAAGATACCATTATTTTTTTTCTGCAGAGTAGTATTCCATTGTGTAGATGTGCCACATCTTCTTTATCCATTCTTCAGTTGAGGGGCATCTAGGTTGCTTCCAGGTTCTTGCTATTACAAATAATGCTGCTATGAATATAGTTGAACAGATGTCTTTGTTGCATGGATGTGAATCCTTTGGGTATATGCCTAAGAGGGGGATTGCCGGGTCCTGTGGTAAACTAATTCCCATTTTCCTGAGGAACTGCCATACTGATCTCCAAAATGGCTGTATGAGTTTGCACTCCCACCAGCAGTGGAGGAGTGTTCCCCTTTCTCCACATCCTCTCCAGCATGAGTTGTCATTGGTGTTTCTAATTTTAGCCATTCTGGCAGGAATAAGATGGTATCTCAAAGTTGTTTTGATTTGCATTTCCCTGATAGCTAAGGATGTTGAGCACTTTCTTAAGTGTCTTTCAGCCTTTTTGACTTCCTCTATTGAGAATTCTCTCTTCAGTTCTGTACCCCATTTTTAATAGGGTTATTTGGTGTTTTGTTGACTAGTTTCTTGAGTTCTTTGTATATTTTGGAGATCAGCCCTTTGTTGGATATAGGATTGCAGTTGTTGTTTTTGTTTTTGTTTTTTTTTTTTTTAAGTTGTGGTTGGGAGGTACACCAAATGAAACTTACAGCTCTATCCATCTTAAAGCACAGAATGGTGGCACATCGTGTTTTCATAACACCACAGTGCCACAGCCTACATAGTTTCATCTCCCAGATGAGAATCCAATGGTTACACAGCAGGCAGTCTCCATCCCCTCCTCCTCACATGTCTTTAGTCTCTGTGGCTTTGCCCATTCTAAACATTACTTTTAAATGGACTCAGGTGACGTCTGGGATTCCGTGTCTGCCTTCTTTCTCATGGCATAATGTTTTTGAACTTTTCCCATATTGAGGCATGAGTGCATGCTTCATTCCTTTTTATGGCCGAATAATATTCCATGGCATGGACATACCACATTTTGTTTTCAGCCACTCATCCGTCGATGGAGAATTGGGTTATTTCCATCCTCTGGCTACTGTGAATAGTGTTGCTGGGAACTTTGTACAGAAGGTTTTGTTTCGACACCTGTCTTCAATTCTTTTGGATCTATGCCAAGAAATGGAATTTCCGGGCAGCTTTGTGTGTGACTTTTAACTCTCTGCTAAACTGTTGCCCACAGTAACTGTGGTGTGGGAGGACCCTGCTCCTCTGCCTCCTTGCCCACGCTTGGTGTTTTACAGCTTCTCAGTTGTGCTCACAGGGATGCTGGTGGGTGTGCATCTCATTGGACATGCTGCTTGCTTCTTCCATGTCTCTGGGGAAATGTGTCAAATCCTTTACAGAACGGGGTTGTTGTCTGGTTGCTGAATTCCAACAGTGGTTTCCTGTGTGCTTCTTGGGCATCCTTTACTCGTTCCTCTATTCACACATTCTATGGGAGCTGAAGAGGGTCCTTCCTCTGCAGGCCACTCTGGGGCCCCAAGTTCACCTAGGACTTGGCATTGGTGGTAGATGGTAACAGCAGGGCGCTGGTGGGGAGATTTAGACTCTCAGGACAAATGCTCACTGTTCCTTTCCTCTATGCCAGGGCTTGTGGAAGGGATGTACCTGGAAGGAGGAATAGATTTCCAGATGGAGCTGGAGAGGAGAGATAGCATGCTAACAGAGGGATGTATGGACAGTCAAGGTGGACAGTGGAGGTAGAAAGGAAGGATCATCAGAGTCCCTCCCCCAGCCTTATATTTCTTGGCAGAGGTCAGTGGGGAGCTGTGGATGACCTTTGAGCAAGGGAAGTGATGTGGTCAGATCTGGGTAGTAGAAGGAGCTGCCTGTAGGTTGGAGAGTAGGCCTGGGGCCACGGCAATGATCTCTTGCTGCCCCTGGTTCCTGAGCTCTCTTCTGGATAGGCAGTTGAGGCTTTTTGGTCCAGGCCTATTGGAGGAATTTGGGAGCAAGGTACGTAGCACCCTTGAGGTCTGGTACCAAAGTGTCTGCTTTACCGTGGTAGTGCCTGGTGGAGTTCCCATCCAGCTCATTTCCCCAGCTCAGTTTCCGAGGATTCTACAGTTTCTTTGGTCTAGATTCCCCAGATTCCAGCCCGCTCCCAGCCCCACCCGCCTAGATGCCCTTCCTCAACGCCAGCCTGGGGCGTGTTCACCCCATTGTGTCACAGGAGACCCAGGGGGGCTCTTGGCCAGATTAGCAGGTAGAGCAAGCAGGCGGGTCACAGAGATTGAGTGTCATTGAGGACGCAGCACATGCTGGGGGCGCAGGCCCCCCGGGGACTGTCCAGCTGCCTGGGGAGTATGGTAGCCTGGAAAAACACAGAGTTCTCAAAGAACTGCCACAGGCAGAGAAGGGCCCCCATCTTGCCAAAGGCCCAGGGCCTCATTGTCAGCTTTGGGGTTCCTGGAAGCCCCTATTCACCACTGCTCCTTGCTAAGTAACTCAACTCTGCTTAGTCATTATCATCATCATTATTATTGTTATTGTTTGTTTTTTCAAGAAAGGGTTTCTGCAAGTAACCATGGCTATCTTGGAGCTCACTGCATAGACCAGGCTGGCCTTGAACTCACAGAGATCCACCCTCTGCCTCCAGAGTGCTGAGATTAAAGGTGTGAGCCATCACCACCTGGCTCAGTCTGTCGTTTTAAAGTCACAGGGTCTCCTGTAGCCCAGACTGACTTCAAACTTGAAGTAGCAAAGAATGACCTTGAACTCCTGATTCTCCTGCCTCCACTTCCAGTGTGGGGCACGAGCCCCACACCTAGCTTATGTGTTACTTTGAGCTTTGTGTATGGAAGGCCAGATCTCCACCAGCTGAGCCCGAGCCTGCCATTAACCTGAAGACTAGTGCTCTCCTCTCTCTTGATATTCCTTCTCCAAGCACCTAGCACCAAAGATCAGTAAAACGGCCGAGGAAAGCCTCTTAGCAATTCCTTAGGAGATGAAAGGATCTCCAGATGACCCAGGAAGTCCATCCCCAGTGGTAGGTGCTCAGACAGTGACAGACATGTGCACCCTCATGTCCATAGCTGAGAGATGAGGCCAGGTGTCTATCCATGGGGAATAGATCAACAGGTGATGGCCCATTGTGCAAATGGAATATTATTCAGCCTTTAAAAGGAATGAGGCACTGATGAATGCTGGAACTTGGATAAACTTTGAAAGCATTTCACTGAGTAGAAGGAATCTGGCTCTAAAGACCACATGTATTGTAAGATTCCACAGACTGTCCGAGCAAGCAGCAGCCCCGTGGGAACAGAGACAGATTAGTGGCTGCCGGGGGCTGAGGGAGGAGGGGCTGGGAGTGCCTGCTCCTGGGTACAGAGTTTCCTTTTGGGATGTTTAGAAAAGCTTGGAACTTGATAGAGGCGGAGGTTGTACAATACTGTGTGTGTGCTAAAGGCCATGGGGCTGTACATTTTTAAATGGTTAATGTTATGTTATGTGAATTTCCCCTCATTACAAAAACAAACAACTGTGTTGATAATACTCCAGGCTCAGAGTAAACTTGGCAAGAGGCCTCCTTCTTGGGAGTTGCCAGGAGTCATTACAAAGGCAGCCACGTCTCTGAGCCCAGCCCACCACACAGTAGGTGCTCACCTTGTGTTAGGTGCTGTCTCTTCCTAGCACACCCACTCATCTGGAAGTGGGAGTGGGAAATCTATTTCAGGTGTGTCTGGGGGGGGGCAGCAGGTGTCTATACCCATTCCCTGAATGTGAACTTTAGGCTCAGGGTGTCGTCTCAAGGTCATACACAGGTAGGAGCTGGAGGCTGTGTCCTTTGGGCTCAGAAGGAGAAGATAGGAAAGCCCAGTGATCTGGGAATTGGGAGTGCCTCCAAAACAACTGGGGACTGTGCCAAGGCTGCCAGATCCCAGGTGGGACATTGTCTGCTCTGGAGAATGTGTGTGTGACTCAGGCCCCAGCACCAGGTGTCTGCAGGTGTGAACTGGTCTGTGGTTCTAACACTTCCAGGGCTGGTGGGGCTCAGTGGAGGGAGGTGTCCAGTGCCAGTGGGGGACAGCAGACTGTCTGAGGGGTTCTCAACACCTGTCTTCTCTCTGTCTCCACAGAGCACTGTCGTCCGTGGTGGCCCTAGGAGCCAACATCATCTGCAACAAGATTCCTGGCCTGGCCCCACGGCAGCGCGCCATCTGCCAGAGCCGACCCGATGCCATCATTGTGATCGGGGAGGGGGCGCAGATGGGCATCAATGAGTGCCAGCACCAGTTCCGATTCGGCCGCTGGAACTGCTCCGCCCTGGGCGAGAAGACCGTCTTCGGGCAAGAGCTCCGAGTAGGTAAGGGTGTCTCTGGGCCTGTGGGTTGGGGGCCAGGTCATCCACCACCCAACCCAAGTCCAGGCCAGGCAGCCCACATAGCTGTTGTGTCTAGATGAGCATCCTAGCTCTGGGCTGTGGGGTGGGGGAACAGTGACCCAGGTAGACAGAAGCAGAGACTGGGGAGTCAGTGCAGCAGGTAGTACTGTTCTGTAGCTTCAAGTACACAGGCCCTTGCTCTACTTTCTGTGGCTGCCATCTGGAAAGCAGGGAGAAATGTGAGGCTTTGATATAGGCTGAGCACTGCAGCTCACCCAGGGAGGACCACGAGGTGTCACCTGCTCCTTGCTGAGGGATTCCAGCAGACGGAGCCTGTAGGATGTTTAGGTGTGACGACTCTGCCCCTGAAGGAAGGATGCTGTGTGCAGGGGTAGATCTGGGTGGAGCAGGGGTGGTCCTCCATTTGAAGACAGTGATCATGTCAGGTGGGGTGGGTGCTGATAGCACAGCCCTTGGGGGCTGCCTGCCTATGAAGCACTGCATTGGCTACATGGTGCCCATTTCATAGATAAGGAAAATGAAGGGAGGATCCCATTCAGGGCTAGAAAGAGGCTTAAAGGAAATTTCCAGCAAGTATCTAGACCTGAATCCAGTTGTGTGACCTGGTCTGGGTCTCCCAGGGTTACCTCAAGCCTCAGGCTCTCATTTGTAGTATGAACAATGAGCCAATAGGCTCTTGTCTGTTTCTCAGTGCCCAAACTCTGGAGGTGCTCAATAAATGCTGCTGGCTGCATGTGGGCAGGGACAGTGACTCTAACCTAGACTGTCTCTAGGTTAGATGGGAGAACAATCCAAGGCTTGCTGGCTGCCTAACCTCCAGGCTCACGGTGTCCCCCGTATCCCAGAGGACTGCAGCTGACACAGGACCCAAGCAGGAGCTGGCTCTATATGGCTGCAAATGCCAGCATGGGCTGGGGGGTGGTGTAGAGGAAAACTCCCGAGGGCCCCTTTGCGGTGAGCAGCCTGTGGGTGGCACCTAGTGCAGCCAGGAGCATGGCACCGCCCCCTCCCTGGGGCTTCTGCCACCCAAGTGCAGATCACTCCCTCCAGGTGCCAGCTGGGGGGATGGTGGGGAGGGCAGTAGTGGGCAGAGGTACCCGCCTTGTGTGGCTTCCCACCCACTTCCCCAGGTGCCCTGTGGGGCATCTGCTAGCACCCAGCCCACAGGGAAGGAATTGATGTTGTAAGGTCATCTGCTGTCACTCAGCCTGCCCAGGGTGTAGATCCAGAGTCTTTCACTTCATCTGGCAATCAAGGCGAGCCTTGGGAACATGTGACACAGGGAGAGAGACATGTGACAGACCGGAGCCTTCCCCGGTATCCCAGAGACTCCCCAGGCTCAGGAGCAATGCTGGCCACACTGTTGCCCCCTTACCCCACAATGTTACCTTTGGAAGCACATCATAGGTGCCCTTGGAAAGTGGACTCGGGCCCACCAGCAGCAGGAGGGTCACAGCTCTGCCCACAGAAAGGAGGCCACTGAGGCAGGAGGGATGACCCTTCATGCCTCTCCTGCTCCTTGCTCCTTTGGGGACCAGGCTAATATGGCTGTTGCTCAACAGTTTGTACTTCCCTGCTTGTATCCTCTGCTCTTGAGAGGACTGTTCTGCCTCAGGTGCTTCTTCTAGGGAGAACCTGGCACTTTATCCTGCCTTCAAGAACATCTCCAAATCTTCGGCAGATTCTCTCATACCCCAGCCCACCTCTGCCCACTTCCACATAGCTACTTGTCCAGGTCATTAGTGGCCTGTGTTGCTGACTGTTCCCATTCCTTGGCTTCTATCTTGACTCATCAACTTGGGATCTCTTCCATCTCTAGCTTTTCCTTGCCTTGACCTCTATAAGGTATGTCAGTACCTCGGCACACATGGATAACTCTCTTCACAGTATCCCAACCACCTGATGTCCTGAGTCTCACTGACCCACAACACTTTGGTTCTTCTGCATGGCGTTGGGCTCCTCATGTGCTGGCCCCAGCTCCCAGGTCCACTTGACCACTTGGTGTCTGTCATTTCCACTTTCCATCCTCTCCCTTTTCTTCCCTACCGAGACCTCTTCTCCAGCCCTCCCCTAGAACCTGTGTATGTCCCCTGGCCTCCACAGCCCCAGTTACCAGCCAGACAGAAGCTACCCTGTGTCCTTTTCTTTCTTTTCTGTGGGTATACAGCGAGACTAGTATGCCAGAGGTTTGATTCCCCAGCACCTCTTGATCAGGGTGCTGCAGTAGTGCTCTGTCACCCCTACCTTCACCAGTCTGTATGAGATTTTTCACATCCATTGCCAACAACAAAAAACCTACAATGTTTAGTCTTTGCAGTAGCTCTCTACTGCCCTAGCTCTCTACTGCCCTGAGCTAAGCTTAACTTCCTAGCCCAGAGCCCCTCATCTAACTTTTTTCCCACCAGAGCCACAGCCACATTTGACTTTTCTGTCTGCCCAAGTAGGCCAGACCCCTTCCTGTCTCATTTCTCAACCCAAGAGGCTTCTCCCTCTGCTATATCTCTTTATAGCTCATCTCCCTCCCTCCTGGGGGGCTTTTCCACACCCTCAAGCTGGGTCAGCCTGTGCCTGTCCCTAGCCCTTCCTGCCCTGGGATGGGCAGGCTTTCTGGAGCCCAGCCTGGGTCTTGCTGCCCTGCCTTAGCCTCCTGTAGCTTCCTGCTGCACTCAAGCAGGGCAGCTCTGGCCACAGGCCGAGCTGGTGGAACAGGGGCCAGAACCGCAGGGGCTTTGCCTGTATGAGAAGACTCCTTCTCCCTTCTCAGTGGCTGAGAGTCAGGAGCAGCAAGCAGGCAGTACTGTGAGCTGGCCACTTTGAGAGGCTTGCTGGGTGCCTGGACACGCCCGGAAGCCTGGCTGGGAGCTGGCAGGCAGCCGGGGCGCTCTCGTGGGAGCAACCTCTCAAGCAGGGCCAATTAATGATTGTCCCTGAGAGGAGCAATGGTCTGGATGGTGGGACAGCCCCCTTTAGGCCTTGCCTGTGACCTTGGGCTGGTCCTAAAACTTAAATGTTGAAGGGAAACCCCTTTAAGACAGCAAAGCCTCTCTGCAAAGTTGCACTCCCTCACCAGCACCTTTGCCGTGGCTTGATTACCTCCACGGATGGCCACTGCACTAGCTTTCTCTGGCACACTGAGAGTGATAGTGGCTTTGTTCTTTTGAGAAGATCAAGACAGTCTTTAGATTCCACACTGCTAACATGGTATTCCATGTTTGGATGCTTGGCACCCTCTACCTGTCCAGTACTGTTCCCACAAGGCACCAGGGAAGGCGGTAGACCAGGGCTCTTCCAACTAGTCTCTCCCATTGACTGAGAATGAACTTGGGGGCTATGCATTTTAAGTACAGCCCAGCTCTGCCATGAGATGCAGGGAGGGACAGAGGTGAAGCGTGGGAGTATATGTTGGGATATCTGTATCCCAGGGAAGCCTGCTAGAAATTTGGGTTCCCTTGCAAGTGTGGGAGCTGCAACAGTCACCGTAACCAAGTCAGGAGTTTCAGCAAAGTCTTCCCCAGAGGATAGCCTAGGGAAGCAGATTGAGAGAACAGAGTGTGCCAAGGCCCTGAGGCCAGGAAGTGGAAAGTGTGTTTTTGAAGGGCAGGTACTTTGTGGGGTGAGCTGGGGAGCAGTGTGGGAGAGCTGAGGCTAAAGGGTACAGAAAGACAGATGGAATGTTATGAGCCCCCCAAAGAGCCCAGAGCATCTAGAAGATTCTGAGCTTTTGTGATCCCCAGTTCCTCCTGAGCCCAACGCCTCTGACCCACTAACCTGGCCTGGACCGTGCTTTCCAGAGTCCCCAGCTCCAGTATGCAGCGCCCTGCCCATCATGTGCTGGTCTCAGACATGACCAGGCATAAGGACCGCCCCTAATCTGAGCTCATGTGAGCAGACCAAGGCTGACTCCTGCTGGCTTCATGAGTGAGTTTGTTATGAGGACAGTGTCCCTCTAGCCTGGCCCACCAGTGTTACAGCAGGACCTCCTTGGGGAGGGGGTAGATTGACCTATTTTATGTCATCTGAGAATGGAGGGCCCTTGGGGAGGGAGGGTGGCTCCTCAGCACATGGACTTGTTGCCCTTCCAGGGTGTTGCAAGCAGGCCCCTGTGAGATGGAGAGGGTCCTGACCTCCTGATAGGCTGTGGGTCTCTGCTAGTAGATGAGCTTCCCCTGAGTGCACAGTGGTGTAAGACACAACAGGGCTCAGACCCCAGAAGTAAGCAGCACCTTTATCCTACAGTATATTAGAATGATGCTGTTTGGAAATATTGGCTAAATCAATTGTCAACCACATTGACAACCCACATTATTTATACTTTTCTTAATGTGACCATTGGGAAACCTCAGAAGATACCCATGGCATGGCTTGCTTGAGGTTTTTGTTTGGCGATACTGTTCTCAGAAGATGTAGAAGTGACCTGGCTCACATGGCCAAGGCAAAGGGAGCATTTGAACTTAGATCTGATGGCCTTTTCCCAGGGCATTATGGGTCAAGAGAGTGTGAGAGACAGTGGTTGGTTGCCATTATCAGCCCCTGTGGTGGCTCCACACGCTAGCATTGAATACCTGTGGTATGCTAGGCCAGGGCCATACCTAGGGAGTCTCCAGTGAACTGAGTGGGGGTGGAGGGTGGCAGGGCTAGAGGGACCTTAGCCTTGAGGGTTTCAGAAACTTAGCCTGAGAATCTCATATTACTCTCCCATTGAGCTAATGCAGCAGAACAGACATTTCTTTCGCTCAGGACCCTGGTTGCCAGGACCCTAGGGACAGTCGGGAACTTGAAAGTCCATTGCTGGCTTGGGATGTGACAGAGCCCCAGACCACAACTCTGTCTCTCCTTGGAAGGCAGCTCACAGATGGGAGGGCTGCTCCCAGAAGACCACTGTCACTGAGCTCTATAGCCGTAAGCAGCTGGCTGTGGTGACCCGGGCCATCCTTCAGCCCCTCAGAGGCCACCTGGAACTT